GAAAATAAAAAATATTTTTTTTATATCAAATTTTACTCCTACTAAAAACGAGTCCACGGGAAATTTTACAGGGATTTAGCACTCTATAAACTACACGTAATTGCATAAACTTGGCCTACGTCAATAAATTAAAATGGGAGGTTTAAAATGTCTGGGATGTTTGTGTTGGTGCCAACTTTATTTTTCTCCCTTATAATTACATAATATTTAAACATTATTGACATAGGCCTAAAGAAGATATATTCAACTTTTCATCGGTTGCTATAACGTTGAATACTGATAAAATAACTAAGTAAATTTCTACTTTCAAGACTTGGATAAAAGAATTAACAAGAAAATGTACGACTTAAAAAACAATTCCGATATAAAAACTATTCAATTCTTTATTTTATTTTAAATTATAAACAGAAAGTTTTCCTTCATTTCAATCAGTTAATTATACAATAAAACACTATCTAAGACAAAGGATGACATAAAAAAGTTTTTTAAACAAAATAAGAGCAAAAACTTGGGAAAAAATTAACATTGATATTTTTTTGGGTTAGATATCAATTTCGCCCCAATTTTATGTAGGATTAGGATTAATATGATGGTTAGGTTAAGGTTAGGGTTAGTTTAGGTTAGATAAGGTTAGGGTTAATATGAAGTGTGTAGTGTTTAGTGACTATTACTTGATGAATTATTCGGAGATCGTGAGATGCGGTCTGGTATGGCGTAGGTTGTAGAAAAACATTTTCTTTATCGTTTCGATCTTTATTGAGATCATCTTCATGGCTAGAAGTGATTGTTTTCCGTGTAGATGTGTCATTCTTGTGTGTCGGGTTGAAAGTGCCAGGGCAGCCTACGTCACACCAGACCGCATCTCACGACCTCCAAATAATTCAAGTTAATATAAAGGCTAGGTTTGGTATGGTTTAGGGTTAATATGATGGTTAGGTTAAGGTTAGGGTTAGTTTAGGTTAGGTAAGGTTAGGGTTAGTTTAGGTTAGATAAGGTTAGGGTTAATATAAAGGCTAGATTTGGTAGGGTTAGGATTAGTTAGGTTAAGTAGGGTTCGGGTTAACTTATTTTCATACCCGTGTATCGTATTCATTGTTTTTCCGTGAAGCGAAAAAAATAGGCGAGTACGAAGTTCAGTTTGTATGTCTCTTTGTTTTTAATAACGCACAATTTTAATATTAGTTGTACTCTTAAGCAATATGACTAATTAGGGTTTTTTCTTAATAGTATTTTGCATAATATTGAAAATATACAAAATACGAGGGTACGGAAAAATAATTTTAATTTTCTCACGGAATCTTATTGATAATAGTAAAAATTCGATTGAGTTGTTTTCTTTTTCACTATGTAGGAACAATGTCCCCGATGAAATTTACGATTTTCCGATAAGATGCCGGTTCGATCGAAATTTATGTGGCTCGTCACTCCCTGTTGTTGTTTATCCGTTTTCAGACCGGTCACGGCGTTATCGCCATCTTCAGTGTAGGTCAGGCTGGACATGCTATTTCTTCTTTTTTCCCCACGTGTAGACCGCGTCTAATGTTAAATTAACGAAAGCATCTTGATTGAATTTTTCGATCCGGGCCGCCCTCGCTGCTGACCTGCTCCTACAGGGCAAGGAAACTGGGCCAAGCTTGGAATATATTAGAAAAAAGACTTCACTTTCGTTGTTGATCTAAAATGGTATCATTTATTTTTAAAACCAAACTTATCAATAGAAGTATGTTTAATGCTTATTGATCCGGTCTACCTAGAGGCGTTGTTGGGCTGCTCCCATACTATTACAAAATTCAGCAGTTCATTGAGTCATAGGCTTACTTTAAAAATTGATTTTTTGCTTATTTTTAATTCTCTTTGCTTCTCCTAATTTCTTTTTACATCCAGGGTTAGTAGTGAAAATATTGAACTTATAAAAACTTTAATATCGGGATGCATTTCGACTTGTATCATAGACTTCAGGGCTGCTAAGAGTTAGAATTGTACGTCCTTTAAGACTTTTTATGCAGATATAGGCGTTCTTGGATTTAAAAAAAGAGAAAATTTGTGCAAGTAGACATTTTCTATTGAAAATAAACTAGGTTATTTAAGGAGCCCAATTAAAAAAAATTAAATGCGCATATAAAATATAATGGCGATATAATGTAAAGAAGAGAAAATTGTATCCGGTTCGTCGGTTTCAAAGGAAAACCCCCCCCATCTTCGAGAATTCAGGTCGCAATTTGTCAAAATATAAAAATCCCTATGACCAGCAAAAACGAAATCTCTCCAAATAAATTGCCACGATTGTACCGACAACCACCCGGATTTGTAGTTTAAACGTGGGTCTCGGTTCGAAATGCTTTATAGGGACTTAAACTGTCGGCCCGTTTCGGCTCTGTTAATGAGATATCAGGGTGAAAAGTGAAATGAAAAAATACTTCGCGGTCCATTTTCAGCCAGCTTTTTATAGGATCAACTTAACATTCTTGGGTAATTAATGATCTCATTTCTTTACCATCTAAGCTGAACGTTAATTTATATTTCAACAAAAACGAATATTTATTACGTATAAAACAACCTGACTCTTTTCTTTTTATGCGTGCTAAACAGTGTAAAAGTCTGCTGGCATGAAAAAGCTCAGAGGTTAACGCAAAGCAGGAAAAATACGACCATCAATTCCTTATCATCGGTGGTAATTGTTGTGAAACAAAACATCTGTTTTACATCAGGCAGTTTGATATCAACGATCAAACATTGGCATTAACAGAAAAACATAGATGTTTCATAGTAACGTATGTACGTAAAGAAAATTCAATGCTGTGAAGACAATTTTGTAAATAAAGTCCCCTTCTTCTATCTACAAGTTTCCTGATATAAAACATTGCTGTTCGATTGTTCGATCATTAATCCCAAGCTTCCTGACAACATCCAAGCATTGAATATATTAAGTAAAACATAAATGTTGATACTATCATAAAGCATAATGTCGACAGAAAACAGCGAATATTAAAAGATAAAATTAAACCTTGAAGGTGTCGGGAAGATTGATATCAATCAAGTCACCTCTCAACACGACACCCAGAATGACACATCTACACGGAAAACAAACACTTTGAGCTCTGAAGATGATCTCAATACAGATCGAAATGTTGGCATGATAAAGAAAATGTTTTTCTAAAACCTACATCACACCAGACCGCACCTCACGATCTCCAAATAATCGTTGACATCAATGCTCGAACATACTACTTCTATAGAAAAACATGGATATTTGAGAGTGTCGGGTAGCTTAATATCAACGGTGAAGCATTGAACATATAAAATACAAATGTTTGACATCAGACAGCATAATATCAATGCCAAACATTCAACATTAACAGTAAAACCTCAATGTTTGATATAAGGCGGCTTGATAACAATGGTCAAACATTGAATATTAACAGCTCAAAACTAATGCTTGATGATATCAAGTCATGATATCGATAGTCAAACATCGAATTTTGATAATGTCACGAAGTTGATAATGATATAAACATTGCTCATTTACAATAACCACAAATATTTGATATCAGACTTAATGATCAAACATTGGCTACGTTAAGATTGATTCGATAGTATCAAGCAATTTTACATCAATGGTCAAAAACTACGAACATCTTCAGCAAAACATCGAACTTTTATATCAGGTAGCTTGATATCGATGGGCAAACATTGGAGAGGAAAAACTGATGGTATCAGTTAGCTTGATAAGAATGGTCAACCTTCAATCATGTAGGGAAAAACCAATTTTTGATATCAGCCAGTTTGAAATGAATAGTCAAACAGCAAACAATAACAGCACATCTAATTTTGATGGAGTAGATAGTTAGAAAAAACGACAGCACAAAATGAACACGATATTGTCAGATTGCTTGGCATCAATGGTCAAACATAGAAAATTACCAGCCAAACACCAATATTGGATTTTATCAACCAATTTGATATCGATGGTCAAACATGGAATATTAACAACAAAAGATTTTTTTTTTTTTTGATACTAGAGAATCTTTCTAGCAGATTATTTCGTCTACAGGGTGTCCTTTCTAAATGGCCCAGCTGAATTTCTGTTGAACCAATTACGCTGCAAGAAAACAAAAAATACCTGTTTAATATGTTTTTAATCTAGTTTCAAATTTTTACCTTTTTTTGAGAAAAATTATACAGGGTACCTCAGGCCCAGTTCTACTTCAAAATTTCAAACACGACCGTATACATCCTGCCACATCATTTTAAATGATGTTTTACGCTGAAAACAATGGTGCAATCGGATTTTAAATTGGTCAAAAAATGACATAGTTATTGCAAAAAGTTCCGATGAAGAGTGGTTAAAAACAGCTAATTTTTGCAACTTTACGCAAGGCAGGCAGTTTGGACGTGAAATGAGATCAATAAATGCCTGTTTTGTTTTTTCAAACTTTTTTCCATAACTTTATCAATTTTTGACCAATTTAAAATCCGACTGCACCGTTATTTTCTGCGTAAAACATCCTTTAAAAGAATGTGTCAGGATGTCGTATTTGAAATTTTGAAGTTGAACTGGTCCTAACGTATCCTGTATAATTTTTCTACAAAAGACGGTAAAAATTTGAAACTAGACTAAAAAAATATTGAAACGTATTTGTTTTTTTGATAGCGTCATTGGTTCAAGAGAAATTCAGCCGGGCCATCTAAAAAGGACACCTTCTATACCCATGGGATAAATAAAATAATAAAAAAGTAATAAATAAAGTAAAGTAATAGAATAATAAAAAATATAAGTGAAATAATAAATAAAAGTAACATGTGCCAAGAAAAACAATTCATACATCAGAAACTTTCAGAAGTTAAAAACAAAACTGAAGACCAGCTCTCATTCTTTGTATTGAATGTAAAATTGTATTACAGATTGTTGGCTACAGTTAAAATTCCAAATTATTTTTTTATTGTAGTTAATTGTATGTCATAACTTCATGTCTTGATTAATGTTGTTTTTTATGTTTCAGCTGCATTTTTCTACGCTGGAAACAGCAAAACTGTCGGTCCTGGAGGATTCAGAGTGCGAGACGAAACAGGATCGTATGTTTTTTAGTTTTTTTTTTTTTTTTTTCTTTTGAAACAATATAATTTTTATTTTTCACATTGATAATTTTACTTAAATACCAAAAACTGGTCAATTTTTTGATAACTATGCAATATTAATTAATATGAAAATTAATTATGCATTACAACACTAGAGGATGTTTAAATAAATAAAATACTTATTTTGTAAAATAACTAAAAGGTGATTTGAAACAATATAATTTTTATTTTTCACATTGATAAGTCTACTTAAACACCAAAAACTGGTCAATTTTTTGATAACTATGCAATATTAATTAATATGAATATTAATTAATTATGCATTACAACACTAGAGGATGTTTTAAATAAATAAAATACTTCTTTTGTAAAATAACTAAAAGGTGATTTGAAACAATATAATTTTTATTTTTCACATTGATAAGTCTACTTAAACACCAAAAACTGGTCAATTTTTTGATAACTATGCAATATTAATTAATATAAATATTAATTAATTATGCATTACAACATTAGAGGATGTTTTAAATAAATAAAATACTTCCTTTGAAAAATAACTAAAAGGTGATATGAAAAAACATATTTTTTACTGAAAGTAAACATGTTTCCATTCTTCAGTATAGATATGTAGTAGTCCTAAGGTAGAACTTTTAGATCGATATATTTTAAGATTTTTTGGTAAAATTGTCGGCCTTTGTATTAAATTAAAATAATTACCAGTGGCTATATTTGGAAAAATAAGAATTAGCCAATTAGCAATAAAAATAAAATTCTAAAAACATAAAATGATGCTGGACTTTCATCATTACATTAGAACATTGTTTACTTTGAAAATATTTATACTTGAGCCTTACTGATGATTTTTGAAAGGGACAAAAATAATAGAAGGCTAAAAAATTAAAAAAATACGTCGAAGTGGAAAGAAGGAGAAAGAGAACAAACCCACGCCCTTTCCGCGTCTCCCAAAGTCAAGGTCCCCAAGGAATCAAGGCCGACTTTCTAACGTGTCGTTCACCTCTTCGCGACTCTCGTCGGCGATGGAAAAAAAGTGGGAAAAATCCGAGCATAAGCCCCTTGGAACGAAGAGAACCACCTAACGTAACTTTCCCAACGTGAGAGAGTCCTTCTGGAAAGGTCGGACCCAGTGAAAGGGACGGGCTTGACCGCTCTTTATGGGCCGGGTTTGTAATTGCGGCTTCGCGAGTCGTACAATGCCCGCTGGGAGATTGTCGAACAAAACCGCGCACCGTTCGGTGGTTTTTAGGTGGATTCGTTCATTTTTATCGTGTGCTCTTCTGGGATCTCGTGGTGTTTTATTCAGTCGGCGGGCGATTCAGTAAAGGCAAACCGGTCACGATATCTTGGACATGCGCCTGCTTATACAATTCTCAAAATGTCTTCTGAATGTTAACAACGATCGATGAAGCCACTGCTAACGTAACAAACTTGTCAATTCCGTGAATATAATTTTTCTAAAGCTAGATTTCCTTTGGGTCTGCTATCCTCTTTGGCCATTTCCGATCAATTTGGTCTGAGGTCAGACAAACTGTAATTATGGCAATGTTCGAAAGTAGGATCTTATACTAAAAATACTTTATTTTAAGGTGGTTTCTTTTATGTCCATATTCCTGAATCGTCAACACACCCCGGTTCAGTGATGTAAATCTGGGCACGAATGACACTTTTATCGACGCATTAGCCGAATGTCGTGTTCCACACTGTCTGGGCAAAGTTCGAAGTATAACCAAGTCAAAAATGTCATGTCTTCTGTCTCCACTCACAATTTATAAATTATTTAACATCTACAAATCACATAAAACTCAAAACCAGAGTTTTTTCTCTTCCAGTTAGAAACACGCAGATGCTTTGCAAGCTGAGAATATTGTGCAACTCGAGTCAAACTGATGTTGGATAATCGTCTGTCAAGTCACACAATTGACCCTTCAAACTAATTTTTTAACGGGTTGATAAATAAATACAGTGTAATTTAAAGGTCAGCGACATGAAAAGCAACCTGTGTGCTAATACAAACTCTTGATGTTCCATCAGCAAAAAATGTCAAAAAATACATATGTATACATAGGTACTTTATAACAAAAACAATTAAAAAAACTAGCGATTTCCTATTACTACGCGACCCTGAGTTCCTTACATACAGGGTGGTGCATCATAAGAACATTAATGGTTAATTTTCTTAATCTTCAAAAAATATATAAAGTTTAGAAAAACAGCAAAAAAGATTAATGCGTGGTGTTTAGTGACCGTTACTCAATGATTATTCGGAGATCGTGAGATGCGGTCTGGTGTGACGTAGGTTTTACAAAAACATTTTCTTTATCGTGCCAACATTTCGATCTTTATTGAGATCATCTTCAGGCTCAAAGTGTTTGTTTTCCGTGAAGATGTATCATTCTTGTCTGTCGTGTTGAGAGTGTTAAAAAAGTGAAAAGAGAGCACTCTTTACGGAAAACAAACACTTTGAGCCCTGAAGATGATCTCAATAAAGATCGAAATGTTGGCACAATAAACAAATGTTTTTCTAAAGCCTATGTCACACCAGACATCATATCACGATCTCCGAATAAAAAAGATTAATGTTATACGGGGTTGAAAAATATCAAAAAGAAGGAAAATAAGAAAGGAGGTAGGTTGAGATGAGGAGTTGGTGTCTGAGTGGATCGAAGTCACGCTAGCTCAAGTGGTTAAAGCAGCATATGAGCCGATGGTCATGGGTTCGAATCCCGCTTGTGACGCTGACTTTTTTAACTCAACCAAAACCTTAATTAATTGAAAAGAGTTTAGATCTTTATTGAGAACATCTTCAGGGCTCAAAGTGTATGTTTTCTGCGTAATTTTGCCATTCTTGCGTGTCGTGTTGAGAGTGCCAAATTTTAGCTTCGAATAAGGATTTGTGGGTTGAGTTGTACTTCGTCTGATCAGCATGTTGAAAATACCTACTTCAAATATATTTTTTCCTTGATCCTACAATACGCTTGTATGAAATAACATTTTATGTGTTTTCAAATCCCGCTCGTGGCACTAAGTTTTGAATCTCAACCGAGATCGTACATAAAAAGAATAATTAATTTTTATAAAGGGTGTTGCGTGAACAGACGTCAGGAGGTAATTCTACACGTCAAATAGGAATAAAAATTCTCCATTGTCCACAGTCTGATTCTCGTTTGTATTCGAGAAATTTCACTTTTCGTCTTACTTCAACCTTTCACGATGTTTTTCCATAAAACCTGTGTATCTCGTCACATCTTAACCCTACTGTAGAGATGATTACACCAATCAAAAGCCCATTAATATCCTATGAGATCCATTCGGGTTTTTTTTTTAAATCTAACCTTCAGCAAACAGAATATAAAATCACATTTTTTTTTCTTCCCATCCACCTCCCCGCCGTACCCCATACCGGCGGACCACGGCCAATAAACTAATTCAAATGGGATGCAAGTTTAAGGGATCTTATTGTGCTTAACGTCTTCCTTCGACCTTGCCCTGAAAGGGAAGACCCAAGGAAGAAGGGAAATTTTTTTTCTTATTATTAATTTATCTAATCTAATAGGTCTCCCCCTTGCTGGTTAATCTTTTTGAATACACTTTCTAATAAATACAATATTTTAATAAATAAATAACAATTATGGGTACAAGGAGTAACCAGCCCGGAATTAAAAGTTCAGGGAAACGCTAAGATCTAACAAGTAACAGCATAGGAAGAAAAAGAAAGAACGAAAAAACTAATCAGGTACTTTATCCACTATAGCCCAGCTAACAGGCTTGAGGACCTCAAACGTCCTCTTTTCTTTAACCAGTTCGTTGAAGGTCGGTGGCCAAGTGTGGCGGAAGAGGAGTTTTAGTGGTTCCCTCACACTCTCAAGGAGGGATATAAAATCACATAAAAAATAAACTTTTACGAGTTTCAAAAGTTCGTATGCAAAGCATGAATAAACTGGACTAAACAAATTTTGAGAGGTTGCCCCCTACTGAAGCGCTTTAAGCATATGTTCAAAAATTTTCAAAAGTCAATATTACCAATGTTAAATATTATTATTATTATTAAGTTTAAGTAAACATCAGTATTATTAAGTTTTTAATTGCTTAAAAATATTTTTTTCGGATAAAATGGTTTAAAAATTAGTCTAAGATTTGAAACTTCTATTAGAAAAAAAGTAAATTTAACAAGAAAGTAAACAAAAAAGAGTCTTTAGTACAAAATTTTACATGCGAAAAACCAAGCTTTTAAAAATTAAATTAAATGACCAAAAATTATGTCCACCTTCTTTCTATTATTCCAGTTTCATGGATATTTTACTACTCCCAAGAGTTCATCCTGCTTATCTGTTCTCATACGTCGACTTCATAGTAAGGATACGGAATTCTGTGCTGTTATCAAAGAAGCAGGATGCACTTTTCGGCCAAAAAATCATACTTAAACCTTAGATCAGAATTTTTGGAAAAGTTTATGTTCTAACTGATTATGCACTTTGTTTCCTTAAAGTTGCAATAACACGACATGAATCTTATAGAACTTTCATTCTCTTTCCGTTGATGGAATATTATGTTATACGTGGTCTTTATCGTCGTGAAAGGTTGAAGTAACAAGAAAAGTGAAACATCTCCAATACAATTGAGAATCAAACAATAAAGACGTTTTAGACCAATTTGACATGCACAATAACTTCCCGAAGTATTGTCTGTTCACGGGACACCCTGCATATATTTTCATTTCTTATCAGTTGATTTTTTCGCTTTATTTATTTAAATTCACAATGATTTTTTGTTCGGCAAACTTTACTTATTAACAACTTTGCATTGCAAAAAAAATCCTTTTAATGTTTACAAAGAAATTCGTTTTAGTTTGAAAATTGCACCAGCATCCATTTAAACAGGCGTTTTTACTATGGTGCATAGCAACTTAGCACTTACACACCGCTGTATAACACGCTGTACCATATCAAACGCACTGAATTGCATTTTATGCATGTAAGAATTATGAAGAAACCCAGTTTCGTTGTATCCTTAAATTTATTTTTTTTTTTTTACTTTTTTCCAATAAATATTATCTTCATTGCGAAAAAAACCAAAGGTTCCCTTATTGGTTTACTTCCAATTTTATATTTTTTATTGTGTAATATATAGTATTTTTTAAACCAATTTGTTTTATGTAAAATACATAACTTTTACATATGATGTTTTCTCTGACTTCTTTATAAAAGTTTAGCAGCGTTCATAATCCATTATAGATGAGATGATGTATTGACCTGCTTGTTGAACAACTTGAACAAAAGGATCTTCAGTGAGGTCACAACAAAAACGACAATTCTTTAAGTTGTTTAAGCTTTCGACGATTATATTATCAGGGCTTATTTATTTTAGGAAAATATCGCAGTTAGAATCGCAAGTAAAATAAATAATTGTTTTTTTGTAATTTTTTTTAAATGATATAAAGTAAATTACATAATTGTTTTTTGTACTTTTGTTTTTTTAAATGATGTAACATGTTCTAACTGCGATATTTTCCTAAAATAAATAGGCCCTGATGATATAATCGTCGAAAGCTCGGCAAAAACTTAAAGAATTGTCGTTTCTGTTGTGACCTCACTGAAGATCCTTTTGTTCAAGATAATCCATTATATTTAGTGGTCTATTGACCAGATTACTTCCTTCAATTAATTAATATTTTTATGTAAGATTTTGGGTTGAAATAAAAAGAGCTAGTGCCACGAGCGGGATTCGACCCCACTACTTTCGGCTAAATACGCCACTGCTCTACGATAGCTCAAGTGGTAGACTTGACGTATTTAGCCGAAGGTAGTGGGTTCGAATCCCGCTCGTGGCACTAGCTTTTTCTTTTCAACCAAAAACCTTACATAAAAGCATTCATAATTTTCGCCTATCAAATTTTCGAATTGTAATTTTTTGTTTAAACTGTCCAGGGAGAGAGTTTTGAAAAGCTACAACAAGAAACACATTACGGTAACTCTTCCGGACGGTAAAACACTGAACAACATCAAATGGTTTTCTGTGTGGTGCGACGAATTCCAAGTGAGTAGAAGAAGTTTGAAAAAGGTCCTTCCTACCGGAATGACTTTAACCAGAAAAAACAACTATTTCCAGGTGAACTTCGGATCCATACAAATACCTCCTGGCCTCGACTACCCGAAGCCGCAGAAAATCGGCCATCTGGCCGGGGTCCACGCAGTCTCCTCTGAAAACATAGTCGTCGTCGACGCGCAGACACTTCTCATCCCATCGTTCTCGTACGATGGCGAAGCGCCAGGTAAAAAACTTTTTTTTTAATACACTGTGATAATGGTGATAATGTAAAAGTTATAAACGAGAACGCTTTCAGTTCTCTTCCCCTCGGGTCACATATGCAATCTTTCATTAATATGCTGGAACGAAAGTGGCCTAATTATCCCCACGCCTGTTTAGTTTTTCTATTGTCAATTTTTTCCGTTAATTCTAGCCCTGGCAACTGTTATTTCATACCAAGCCCAAGTGGTTCAGATATGCTTAAATAACAGGCATTCGAAGATCGTAGGACGTTATTTCTTATCTGTATCTCACAGACCTACTTGCTCCGAACAATTCAATTAATGAAAAGTAAAACGAAAACTGGTTTAAAGCCACGTCGACTTAGTCACAGCGGTCACGTTTCAAGTGAGGACGTTCTGTTCAAATTTGTTGCACAGACACGACCTACGTGAAAGACCGAACATCTTGATACTGGACAACTTCCGAGTTGCACTTTCACTTTGTATTCATTTATCGTTTAAGACCAAAAATAATTATTAAAAACCTTGGAAATAGTTTCTACACAACCCTATGCTCTACTTAAAGATTTAAAATCTGTAAGTTAATTTTGATTTAAAGGAGATCAAGGTAAACACCTTAATTTTTATGATTGAATATATCTTGTTTTCTTTAATTTCCCGTCAATTTTACTTTCAATTTACGGCAGGATTTTCCCCCTGAAGCCTCCAAATTTTCTAGACAGATTTTATTGACTCTCAAAAAAGCGGCAAAAGTACCACCCTGTTTTTACTCAAAGTATAAAATCTCCAAACTTCTTTGGTTTTATTATATTCATTTTTACAAAAATTTTGTATTCTGTAACTTCCCTTCATATTCATATCTAATTTAGAAAAGATTCGGTTAAACTTTTTGAATTATTCCTTATTGAAATCGACCACCGAAAACATCGAGACCGGGCGGACACAAGACGAATTTACAATACCCTGTTAAAGTTCGAGTAACTTTTCTTTCATTCTTTGTTGTTGTTTTTTAAATATAATTTTTAATAATATTGAATAATTTTATAATAGCACGCAACCTACAAAAATACTACGCTGAACTACTACTAAACTTTAAACTTTATAAGTTTCTCTAGCTTTTAATATTCACAAAGTCTAAGTTTTCTGTAACTCTACTTTCTTTTTACGTGCAATTTTACGAAAAATTCTTTAGATTTTTAAATTGGTATGGACCACCGATAACATCGAGACTGGGCGGACCATCAAGGTTCAAATTTTCTAATCGGAGAATACCGATACGCAGGACAAAAATTTATAATATCCTGTTAAAGTTTGGGTAGACATTTTTCATTCTTTTATTCTTTTATTCGTTTTTTGTTTAAAATAATTTGAGAAATTATTAGAACCTTTTGTAGTAGCGCGTAAGATACAAAAATACTACCCTGACATTAACAAAACATTAAAATCTATTAGTTTCTTTGGGTTTTATTATTTTATTTTCACAAAGTTTTCTGTAACTCCTCTTTCTTTTTACGTACATTTTTACAAAGGATCAGATTAAATGTTTAAATAGCCTCTATTGGTATGGACTACCGAGAACATCGAGACTGGGCGGACCATCTTGACTGCCAATTTGCTAAGCAGTTTACAGATACACGACACAACAATTTATATCAGCCTGTTAAATTTTGAGTAGTCTTTCTTGCATTCTTTGATCCGTACTTTTGTTTTTAAAAAATTTCAAAATTATTGGAATTATTTGTACTAAAGTTGATGGCGGGTGTCAGTTTACGAGTCGGTGATATGTTATGTTGAACCGACATAAGGTTACTTATTGGGTTCGTCTACTCGCGGGTTTTTGAAGTTACTCAAACGTGTTTCGGTCTTGCACCATCTTCAGTGAGGAACTGTCTTCTTCTTTGTAGTAGCACGTAAGCTACGAAAAAGCTATAACTTTCTTAGTGCTTTATTATTTAATTTCTAGACAATTTACGTTCATTTTTGAAGGGCTGACTAGGTTTTCAAATACTTACTTAATGGATGCCGAGAACATCGAGACTGCCGGACTTAATATAACATCATGACAATATAAAAATTTATAATTATCTATTAGAAGCTGCACAGCTAAATGTTCACTTTCTACATTTCTACCTTTATCGTTAGGGATTTCGATTCAAGACCTACTCTGGAAGTACGTACTTCTACCAAGTGGAAGAGCATGCTACCCTTTACACACTTGTTAATTTTATCTGTTTGCATAATATATAATAGAGATACGTAATACATACTTTAGAGTTTGTATTGGATCCTCCTTCTCTTATGGTCGGTGCAGGGGTTCCGCAAGGAAGCGTACTGGGTCCGTTGTTATACATAGTATACACTTCCAATATTCCTTCTCATATTTCCATTTCGAATTTCACTTTGCAGATTAAACCGCCAGATTATGCAATTATCACTTTGGAGCACGTGGTTTACAAAACGACGTATTAAACCAAACACTCGAAAATGAATAGAAAACTTTACCCTACAGCGCATATTGCGATTTGAATTATCTTCTAGTCAAAAAAATTTTACATCAACTTGGGCTGTATCAGACAAGTGACTATCCTGGACTCCTCATACACGGCTTAAAAGAACAAAACTAAATCTACGGTACCGACTTTGTTTACATGACAACAGATTAAAATTCTTCCTTGGCAACAAAAGGACGACAAAACTCATCTATACCACCATATTAAAACCTTTATGGACTCGATGAAAACCTTACAGCATTGAACTCTGAACTAACTAAATTCTCCAACCTCAATCAAACCCCTTTGCAAGGATATATACTAAGATCTATTGTTAACGCACCATTTTATGTTGAATGTTTCCAACAGCACTATACACATTGACTTAAACATCCGTTTTATTAAAAACGTTGCAAAATCTGGTTATACAAATCACACATCAATTCATACATTCTGAAGCTTTCCTCCTTGTCACCTCCAACTTTTGTCCCAAACGGCGATGACCTCTCAAAACCGCTTTTCAGAAAAGGAAAATAGCTTCTCGACTCGTGATGTTTTGTACTTTTTAATATGTGGTAACATAAATAATACAGAAAATTGTTTCTGGGTTGAAAGCAGCTTAAAAATACCTTTCAACATGCTAATTATCCATTCAATTAAAATTAAATACTTAATTAAATCATAACATTCCTTATACGCACTTTATATGTTTATATAAACAGCTAGATAGAGTTTTGCAAAAATAATCGGAATGTATCTAGAAAGTTTAATTAGTTGAGTCGGTACATACAGAGATTTGTTAATATAAGCAAAATAAGAGAAACTTTAAGTTAGATATTGGGTTGTCCGGAAAATAATGCAGGATTTTAAGTTTTCATTAAAAAAAATCTATATAAAATATTCTGTTTACGTTTACAGGATTACTCANGGGAAATTATTTTGATTAAAGAACATTGCTTTAAAGTAACTAGTTTCTTTTTTTTTGTTTAATACCAAAATCCTGCATTATTTTCCGGACAACCCAATATAAACATAGCATAGGAATGATGTAGGTTTATTCCATTGCAACACCACACGATACAAGTTAAGGAAAAATTTGTAAATTCATTAAATGCAAGTCTTAAGAGGCTTTTTAACATATAATTAGCTTAATCATGCCATTGCTAATTGGCCGTCAGGTAAAGCAGAGATAAAAGCTGTACCATACTAAAACTTGAGACGTAATGCTCTTGAGAAACCACCACAACATACTGTTTAAAATTTAAAATGTATGAATCCTGTTTATTTTTGTACTGTTTTTCACATATCCTTGTTAGCTTGAAGAATTTCCATTTCACTTTTCCACATCCAAAATGTAATTGTAATATGTAAACAATGTTTGTAAATCTCAGGCCCTGAAGATGATCTCAATATAAAGAGAATGTTTTTCTGAAACCTACATCACACCAGACAGCATCTCACGATTTCTAAATAAATATCGATTAACGGTCACTAACCACCACACAAATTTCCATAAGGTCCTTTACATTTTCTTGATGGAGATATGAACATTGAACATTGATATGAACATGTGAACATTGAGACTGCTCGGACTCTAAAGACGTTCAAATATACTTATCGGGCATCGCTTTATTTTAACTTACTTGTAAATCGGCAAATAGTTAGACGTTGCAATTCAGGTTTTTAGCTCTGTTGTGAAATTGTGTTCTCTCAAATACCGTATTTAAGACCAATTACGAATATTTGCCTTTCATTATTTACCCTACTTGAGTGTAAAGTTTCTTCATGTTCTTCCCGCTCTATATTTTCAATACGCCAATTAAATACCGAGTCCCTGGCCTGGTTGCAAGAGTTGTATATTGTTTGATATAATTACAATGATCGATTATGTAAATATGGGTTAAATCTATTCCGCCCACTTTGCTGTTCAATGTGCACTTTGCTCTTACGACATTCTTAATTACTACTTCTTGAAACTATGAATGAAAACAAAAAAGCACACAACGTTCCAAAAGAAGTTTCTGTAAATGTGCAAATAGTATGGTGAATTAATTGGTACTGATGAAAAATCAAAATGTTTAGAATGCAAATCCTTCACAGCGTTTTCTCCATTTAATTATTTTTCTTTATTCTGAAGCAAGTTTTTATTATATATAAATTATTATATACAAATTTTGTTATATACATGCACAAAACTGATAAAAATTGTCAATAAAGCAATGTGTATAGGTAAGTACTTCTTATACCGGAACTTTTAACATTTAATTAAGATTAGAAAGTGAGTTGCTTTTTTCGGTTTTTCACAGTTTTGTAATCGTACAAAGTCAGAAATGCACATAGGTAATAATGCAATTTCCCGAAAGGTCAAGAAAGTACAGTTGCATAATAGTATTCAGAATCACAGATTCACCTGAGACACTTGGCAAGCCACGCCGGTCTGACCTTTCACCCGGTTCAGGTTCACTATTTGGACGATTTGTAGGCCGATACCTGAACCTGTTCATTACCCCGGA